ATTGTTACTGCCTTTATTAATTTGGAATAAATGTACAAATGCATAAAAACACTATGAAATGTATAATTATTATTTAAAATATTAAATAAAATAAAAATAATGTTAATAAAATACAAAACAGAAAATATATATATATATATATATATATATATATATATATATATATATATATATGTATATTATATATATTAGTAATATATATTAGTATTTATATAGCATTTGTTTTTTATTTGAATTGGTTTGCTTAAAAGTAAACATTTCAAGGTTTTTATAGACATATTTCTCATGTCTGTGAGTCAAGTATTCCCTGAGTTTCGGTTCATTTTTGTGACACATAACAGCAAGAAGTTCACAGAGACTGAGACGGCAGAAAGCGTATCCTGTTTGTTTTCTTTGTTTTACAGAAGCACAACATTTTGTTGATATTCTGAGCATACACAAATAAAAGTAGACCCTTTAAGTCTCGAATGATGTCTTGCTCTTATCTGCATGAGCAAAAATTATGGTGTATTTTAAGTTGTTTCTACTGTTATCAGGTAAAAAATGCCAGTGATCATGCCAGCGCCTCCATGTCAATTTATTTTTAAATGTTTTTTTTTTTATAAAAAGTTTTTCTTCAAAACATTTTACTGCAATCAAAATCTAGTAACTTTACAGAAATATGGATATAATTATTTTCAGAAGGACTTTGGAGTAGGATTCATCAAACTACAATTTCATGAATTTTCCTGATCTTATGGGAAAATGAATCTTTTTTACAAGGTGACAATTTTGTACAATGTGAAAATTTAGATTTATTAAAAAAAAAAAAACATGAATGTCCAGCTCTAGACATAACCATCACTGTGCATTATAAATTTATGTGAATTAGCTCCCGAATTGGCAAAACCAAAACATTTTGATTTTCATTTTATGGCACAAAACAAAAGAATTAGAGTGTGCAATGTTGCACGGTGTTGCATGGTGATGTTGCATAGTGCTCGCAACGACAGGGTCATGGGTTTAATTCCCAGGGAATGCATACACATACACAACTTTTAAGGTACATTTAGCAAAGTTGTACAAAAGTAGTATGAAAATGCATTATACACTGCATTAGATTAGAAAGTGTACCGTTTTTCCGATTTATTTATTTGTTCTTTTTTTTTTTTACCAACATTAACGGCATCAGCAGCAAAACTTCTCTCTTTGTCTGTTTCTCAATTTTTTTTCAAGTAAACTTCATTATAGAACTCTGTTTAAATGTCACTTTGCTTGTGGATTAAAGATGAAACAGTGAATAGAGTGCATTGGCAGTGGCGTGCCTCTGATCGGACAGTAATGCCGCTCTAAGACTGCGGGGTCTGTGATGAGAGGGTTTTCCGTCTTTGTTTTCATAGTTGAGGAGGATTTTACAAATGTGAATTGAGGGCAGATGGATTTGGAACTGAGCTGGATATGTTGGAGCAGTCACGAGGGGTCGGAGCCTTTTAGTGGAGGCTAAAATTTAGGATACCGTTTATCCTAAATTAGTAGGAGAACAGCAAAGGAGAACTAGGCTTTGATGTTTGACTTCTGTGAGAATATTTGAGATCATTTGACAGCGTAGAACACACACACATACAGTATATATTTTGAAAATATTTACATTTATATTCTTATATTTTATATTATAGATAAATATATTAATATATAAACAACATATTTGTATTAATACATGCATGTGTTTGTATTTATATATACATAATAAATATGCACAGTATACACATATATAATGTGTAAACTAAAACTTTTATTTTGGATGCGATGAATCGCGATTAATCGTTTGACAGCACTAATATTTAATTATATTTTAATGAAAAATTACTAAACAAAGTATTTTTCTTTGGAATAACATGCAAAATATTGTTCAAAGCAGGACTAGTAACATGTACAGTGTATCAATAAAATATTCATAGTGTTATGAAAAAAAAAAAAAATTCTGTTCTTTTGAACTTTGTATTCATCAAAGAATCCTGGAAAAATGTATCGTGGTTTTCACAAAAAAATATTAAGCAGCACAACTGTTTTCAACATTGATAATAATAAGAAATATTTCTTGAGCAGCAAATCAGCATATTAGAATGATTTCTGAAGGATCATGTGACACTGAAGACTGGAGTAATGATGCTGAAAATTCAGCTTTGCATCACAGGAATAAATTACATTTCAAAATATACTCAAATAGAAAACCATTATTTTAAATTATAATATTTCATAATATTACTGTTTTTACTGTATTTTTAATCAAATAAATGTAGCCTTGAAAGAGACTTATTTCAAAAACATGTAAAAACAACCCCAAACTTTTAAGACAGTAGTGTATTAAGAAAGTAATTAGGGTCAAGTTTCTAATTGTTTATTACCCTGGTCTGATAAAGCAACACTGTTTAAGGCATTTACATGACCTTGCCAGGATCAGTTTTCCAGCGCTGGAGGGAACTCAAGGAGCAGAAGGCCTGCGATCGGACGCCGAGGTTGCTTTTTTTCTTCTCGATAAATGACTAACACCGTGTCTGCGCCGCAACAACTAAAGTCTGTCTAGTACACTGGACCGTTGAAAATCATTTGAAATTTGTGTCAATACGTCATACATAGAACGCAGCAGCAGTTTTCTGTTGGGGATTTGTCGTGCCGCGCCGCATCCAGTGTAGACCATAGATATGTATGGTGTAGACAGCATCACTGATTATGAGTTCTATAGTATTTTGTCGCGCCGCACCACTCGCGTCTGGTGTAGACACGGTGTAACATTGGTTTTGCTTTGTTTCACAGAACTAATCGTTGCCTGGGTTGCGTACGTATGTGTGGGGTGGAGCTATCAAAATAGGGGCGAGACCCTTTTGGGGTTAGGGGTGTGTTTGTTTTGGTGATTTCAAATGTCAACATTGGCTACCAGAAATCTTACCCCACCTTTAATTATGTATGATAGTCTAATTAAACACTAATGATCAGCTCTGTTTAGCATATTTTACCATATGTAAATAAATTCAGCAAGTTTTCCCCAACAATCAGCACAGAAAACGTGAAAAAAGCAGTGCAAAGTCCATGTTGGCCTACATAAAAATCCATTTCTAAAAAGTTCCAGCTTGATTTTCTGACCTCTGCTGACATTTCATACGCGAGTCTTCATAAACATATCACTGGGCTTTACGAGCCAACAGGCCACAAAGCCACGCATGTCATAAAGCAATCTGTGATATGTCACAATAATAGCTACATTAGATATTAACCCCCATGAAGTTTCATTATCCACTCTTAAAGGGTTATTATGCGATGTTAATTACAGTGTCAAAATCATATCAGCCCTCGACTTAATGAAGCACTTTCACACCCTTTCATTTAAGTGAAGAGCTGCTTTTCAGTTTTCATGCACAGCTCTCTGCTATTTCTGCTCTAGATAGATGGAGTATTAATGTCGGCCAGGGTTCAGCCGAGTAGATTAACCTCTAAGCAGAGTTTGGGAGTGTGTGTGGATTCAGGATGACTCGAAATGCTTCATCATTAGAGCGGATCTCTTGACCCTGATGAAATGCAGTATGTCCTGTGGAGACTGTCCATCACTCCAGACTCCTGCATTGTACATGCTTTTAACTCCTTTCATATCAAGGAAGACTACTCAGATATGAAGTAAAAGTCTTTCTTTGCATTGAACAGAAAGCATTTTATTATATATATCACATTCTTTCTGTGCAATGAAAATAAAGATATATCTTTCTACAAACTGCATTGTTGAACCAAGAGCACAAGTGACTTCTTTGACGTCTTTCTGAATGAGTGTTTCAAATTATTTGCTCAACTGATTCCTTCAAAACACTGATTTATCCAGTAACTAAACAAGGGACTCTCTTTATGAGTGAGATTTAAATCATTCAGTTAACCGATTTGTTCAAAACACTGATTCTGTTATTGAAAACTATTATGACACTATTTACTCTGCTGTCTTTATGAGTAAGTTTTTGAATAACTCATTACACCTGATTTGTTCAAAACACTGATTCATTCATGAACAAAACAAATGATTCTCTTTTTGAGTGAGTCATTGAATCTTTCAATCAACTGATTTGCTCAAAACAGTAGTTCATTCATGAACAAAACAAATGATTCTCTTTTTGAGTGAGTCATTGAATCTTTCAATCAACTGATTTGCTCAAAACAGTAGTTCATGCATGAACAAAACAAATGATTCTCTTTTTGAGTGAGTCATTGAATCTTTCAATCAACTGATTTGCTCAAAACAGTAGTTCATTCATGAACAAAACAAATGATTCTCTTTTTGAGTGAGTCATTGAATCTTGAAATCAACCGATTCATTCAAAACTCTGATTCATCCAGTAACTAAACTAAACACAGACTAATTAATGAACAAAACAAGTGACTCTCTTTATGAGTAAGTCTTTGAATCTTTCAATCAACTGTTTCATTCAAAACAGTAATTCATTTGTGAACAAAAGAAGTGATTCTCTTTTTGAGCGAGTCACTGAATCTCTTTCATACAACCAATTTGTCCAGAACACTGATTCATCCAGTAACTAAATAAGTTGCTGTCTTCATGAGTGAGTCTTTGAATCTTTCAATCAACTGATTTGTTTAAAACAGCAGTGCATTCATGAACAAAACAAGTGGTTCTCTTTTTGAGTAAGACATTGAATCTTTCAATCAACTGATTTGTCCGAACCACTGATTCATCCAGTAACTAAAAAAGGGCCTGTCTTTAAAAGTAAGTCTTTGAATAATGTAGTCAAATGAATCGTTCAAAACACTGATTCATTCAGGAGCATTGAATTGTACATTGAAGTGTATAAAGTGTAAGTGTATTTAAAATTATATTTGATTCATTCAGGAATAAAACAAGAATTGAGTCTTTGACAGTCGATTTGTTTAAAAACATGGGTTCATAAAACTTTGTGTTATTTTAAAAAACCTTTATATTGCATAAAATGGTTTGTGGATATTTACAGTATATATTTTGTTTCCCATAGGAATACGATGATGGATATGGAACAGCCTACGATGACCAGGGATACGACTCATATGACAACAACTACAACAATCAGGCACCGAAGTAAGTGTGTGTGTGTGTGTGTGTGTGTGTGTGTGTGTTTTGTGGAGGCTGAGCCATCTGAGTCTTCTGTCCGTGTAAAGGGTATCTCTCAGAGCGCATGTGTTATATCTGAAGTTATATCAAGTTATATCTGAACGAGAGAGTTTATTCACAATGTAGGTCAGTGCTCACCTCTCTGTATCGAACCAAAGAGTTTGTGTTGGTCTTCACAGAGCTGGACTTGGAGCTTTGCTGCATTGGAAATTGTTCAGGCTAATGTAGGGGCAGCTCTGAAAGTCCAAAAGAGAGAAGTGTCCGTCTCGCTAATGAATCACTCATTTATCTGGCTTTTTTTCTTTGCAAGGAGATATTTAGTGTTGTACGTCAACTTATAAACACCTGAGTCTTGTGAAGGACAGTTTGACTCATAATTAGTGGACGTTGACATATGACATATTCTCTTGTTTTCTAAAACAGATTATTAGAATGCTTTAGAACAGAACATAATTTGTGTCTTAAGTTGGACAACTAACATTTGTTGTGATATATAAATCTATATAGTGATCTATAAATCTATATAGTTTTTTTGCATATATTTCAATACTGGGCTAGACCATTTTGAAATAAGATTTTCTAATAGTTATATTCTGGATATTCATGTTTATTTAAAGTTTTAATATGCTTCATTTTTTAAATTAAATTAAATTAAATTTTTTATTTCAATTTATAAATATGCATTTTGCATCTAGTTGGTTTATTGAAAGCAACTTAAATTGCATTAAAATATATTATACATTTTATAATGATAGATAGATAGATAGATAGATAGATAGATATATTCTATTATAAATCTATTGTAATATATTTTTAAATAATTTCATTTGTAATGTTTTTATGTTTATTAGACATTTAATACAATATTGAGTTAGAAGATGATAAAGTAGGATTTCATAATAGTGATATTCTGGATATTACATTTCATTTAAAGATATAATATGTTTTTTAAATATTTTTCTTTATTTTTGCATTTTATCAGTTGTTTTTAATCAGTTTTATCGAAAATGACTTAAGTTTCATTAAATATATATTATTCGTTCATTTTTTAAAATACTAACATTATAAGGATTTAAATAGTACTGTAAGTTTCCATTCAAAATAAGATTTTTTCTTTCTATGGTTTAATATGAGGTAAACTCAGCATATTGAGAATTTAATCTCTTTTGTTTAGACCACCATTTTTGATATGGGTCACATTTTAAAGGTCAATTTCCTCCACGGAAAAAATGAATTTGAGCAGAAAATGAGAACTAGCTCTTGACACTTGGTGAACATGATGCTGGATTTCTGATAGTGATAAGATGTCACAGTAATCATCAGGTGGGCTTCATCACACTCTGACTAGCACTGTTCTGTTTCCATGTCAGTCAACAGCTTCTTCCTGAAGTCAAACACTGTTTTAGGAGCTCAAACGACACTTAAACTGATTCGCTTTTATTATTTAATGAGGAATCTTCTGGGGGAGCCTACATATACTTCATTATACAGCAGGTTTCTATGTCCTTTGATTCATAAAACATTGTCTGTGTGTTACTGAGCTCTGGTAGATTTCCTCATACCTCGTCCTGAAGCATCTTTGATCCTGTAATATGTAATCAAGGGATATGTAAACTGGCTTTCCTTTTAATCATAGAATATGTGTTGAACCAGAGGTGGTTTACCCTGCGTCTTCTTAAATAAAACTATATTAAAGACACAATAGGCCTAGTCTCAGATCAGTATTTGGAACCTACTCATTTAAGATCAGTCTCAGTGAATGCATGAAGGCTAGGAATTTTATATAATCTATATGTGCATATAATGATCTATAATAATGTACTGGATGCTTGATAATGTTCCTGCATCATTTAGTCTCACCTGACAATAACTTTCAGTGGTCCACGTGCTTCCATGAGTCATATTCCATGTACTTATGGAGACATTTTGATAATTGGCATCAAAAAAGATGTCAAATAACTACTTCTTGCAGTAGGAAGCATGTGATGAGTCTCACTTCTGATTTTTAGATTAAATTACCGTGATGTTATGCCAATGAGCATGAAGCTAGCAACGCCAAGGTCATGGGTTTGAATCTCTAAGGATGCATGAATGCTAGTCACTTGTAACAAATGATGTCAACGCCATATTGTTTAGTTTCAGTTTCAGCTGTACATTGTAATGCAAACAATTGTGTGTCCTTCAACTTTGTGAACAAGAATTGTTATTATTGACTTACTCCTGGTGTAATTATTCATTGATGTTGCTGGTTGAGGCAACATTATTGTTATTGTGTTTAGAAGCAGTCATTTGAATAAACGCTTATCCTTCTGTATTTAATTCAATACGTACCTCATCCAATACCATTTGAGCTATAGACATGAATTACATCTGAAATCAAGTGACGTGCTATGCTAGAAGCAGCCTGTAAAAAATGTAAAAAAAAATATGTAATTGGAGTATGTTCAAGAAAATACTATTTAAGTATATACTCTTTATATACTATACACTTTCTTTTTCCACTCCATTCCAGTGTGTTGCTTGCCGTTTCTTTGTAATTATTTGTTACATTTACTAGCAATTTCTGAATGAAAATCGCCCTTTTTTAATTATAAACCCTACACCATTTTTTTCAGTAAAGTGTTATTTTAATATTATCATTATATATATATATATATATTATTCCTTATATATGAATATATATATTTTATATATAGATATTTTTTATATATATTATATAGATTTTATATTCCTATTTAGTTTTAATTTAATTTAAATTTAATTTTTCACCTTAAACTTAACTTATTTCAGTTTCTAATTCTCATTTGTTTGTTTTTAAATTTTTCATTTAATTGTTTTATTATATTATTATTACTTAAGCTTTATATAGTTTAATTAGCTTTATATACACACACACACACACACACACAGTTTTATTAAAATTTCGGACTTAAGGTGAAAAAATAAATTGTATAAAAATAAAAGAATATCATCATATTACTCTTTCAACCACACAGCCAATATAGAAACAAAATGTTCAAAAACCTGTTACAAGTAATAAAAAACACAAACATAATTCTACACGTTAAATGAACAGTAACACTACTTAAGATTTTACAGGTTCAACAAAAACATAAATAGATTTACATTACAAAAACATATGCCATTACATCTAAATCATAAAAAACACCATACAACAAACACATTGTAAACATCCATATTCAAAAAATGCCAATAATAGATTTTGAGTAAAATCACATCATGTAGTAGGTATAGTCATAACATCTCATTGAGTAAATGTTCATCATTGAGGCCAATAGAAGAAAAGTCTGCAGAGTATAAATGCAAAAAACAACAACAACATTTTTTTAAAGTGTCATGACATGAAATTTGTCAGATATGACGGTTATAATGGCATTTGGATGCTAGAAATAGGCCGTGTTACCTGTGTGAATGGACGGGGAGTGCGCAGAGGTGAAATGTTCACCGAGGTGACAGGTTTATCTCACAGGAGCATTAAAAGGGTCAGAGGTCAAACTTATGAGTTTTCATGAAAAAGCCTTCGCTGTGTGATTCTCCCAGGTGTATCACCTTCTCGTGTTGCGGTCCAGAAACTCCACGCGTGTGCGGTCGCAATCCCTGTGGAAGTGCTCAGGGGTGCGGGAGTGTGTCTGACAGCATTTAAACTGCTCGTCACCTTCTTCAGAGTGCTATAGAGCACCATATGGCCCACACATACACACAGAATGTCAGAGCGGCTATAGGCCTCCGCAGAGCAGTTTGTTTTGGAAAATGTCAGTGCGGTGAGTTCTGAGACTGCTGCTTTTCAAAGGTTAGCACTGCTTCTGGAGACTCGACTCTGAGAGTTTAGATTTAGAGGGGAAAAGAGCAATTATAGCGGCGACTGATTAGAAATTCCCTCTTAGGAGATTGATTGATTGGGAGTTTTTCCTCACCACTGTCGCCTTTGGCTTGATCTCTAAGGGTTTTGTAAAGCCACTTTTCTTTATAAGCTGCTTTGGAACAGCATGTGCTGTACAAATAAACTGAATTGAATAACTGATGTTTGCAAACTTCTTTTATTTAATTCTTTCTGTAGTAATAGCAGCTAGGCAAGTATTGGATCACTTTAGGATTATTAGCACAGGCCTATAATTGTGCCTTCTGGCCAATAGAAGTATTTTTATTTACCCTTTTGTAAGTTTGAGAACTTGAAAAGTTTTGTCTATCAGTGATAATGCAGTTTTTATTTTCAGATCTTTGTAGTGACTCTTAAGTATACATTTAAGTGAATTTTTATTTGTTTTAAGTTTGTTGATTCACAGAATTAACAAATGAACAGAAAATAAAAATGGTTCATTCACAGTTTATTTTTAAATGTGAAATTGCAAGCTTCTAGTTGTATTTGCACAAATAATAATAAATAAAATAAATTAAAATGTTAGATTCAAAAAGTTAGATATTCAAGGAATCATTTATCTTCTAACGTCTTTTAAAAGATAGTATAAATGACTGTGTTTTTCTGATACTGTATCTGTCTGTTGATAACATGATGAAATGAATTAATGTGGACATTTATGTATATCTGTCAGGGTTATGTTTGGATCTGGTAGGGGTCTAGCACTGTTATGGATCTTTGTGGGTTCTTTATGGTTTTGGTTTGGATCTGGTAGGATTCCAGCATTATTATGGTTCTGGTTTGGATCTGGTAGGGTTCTAGCATTATTGTGGATCTGTGTAGGTTCTTTATGGTTCTGGTTTGGATCTGGTAGAGTTCTATCATTATTATGGTTCTTTATGGTTCTGGTTTGGATCTGGTAGGGTTCTAGCATTATTGTAGATCTGTGTGGGTTCTTTTATGGTTTTGGTATGGATCTTGTAGGATTCCAGCATTATTATGGTTCTGGTTTGGATCTGGTAGGGTTCTAGCATTGTTGTTGATCTGTGTAGGTTCTTTATGATTTTGGTATGGATCTTATAGGATTCAG